AACCCGCGGGCTCAGGCAATCCACTCACCTCAGCCTCCCAAAGGCGCGGGATTACAGGCTGAGCCACCGAGCCCGGCTATCTTGGCCACTTTTTAATGGGGCTGTTTATATTTTTCCTTTCAGTGCATTTGAGTTCCTTGTAGATCCTGATGTTAGGCCTTTGTCAGATATACAGCTGGCAAATTTTTCCCCATTCTGTGGGCTGTCTCCCTGCTCTCTTGATGGTTTCTTTTGCTTTGCAGAAGATTGTTAGTTTGAGGAGGTCCCATTTGTCTATCTTATTTCTTAAGGTATGAGCATTTAGGGTTCTGAATAGGAATTGGTTGCCAGTTCCAATTTCCATAAGGGTGTCTCCTGAGTTTTCTAAGATTCTTATAGTTTGACATTTTACATTTAGGTCTTTGATCTATTTAGAGTTAATTTTTGTGTATGGTGATAGGTAGGGGTCCTGTTTCAATCTTCTGTATGTGATCAGCCAGTTTTCCCAGCACCATTTACTGAATAGGTTCTCCTCTCCCCAGTGGTTGTTGTTGGAGGCTTTATCAGAGATGGGTTGGTTGAGAAATTGAGGCTTTGCTTCCTATCCTGTTCCATTGGTCTATGTGCCTGTTCTTGTACCAATACCAGGCTATTTTAATTATTGTAGCCTTATAGTAAAGTTTTGTACCACTCTTAAGAGACACATAGAAGGGTCAGGTGTGGTGGCTCAAGCCTGTAATACCAGCACTTTGGGAGGCCAAGGTGAGAGGATTGCCTGAGTTCAGGGGTTTGAGACCAGTCTGGGCAACTTGGTGAGACCTCATCTCTACAATAAAAAAAGAGAGAGAGGGAGAGAGACATAGATATACTGCAGCCTGCTCAAAGCTGAGCCACCAGATAAGGACCAGTGAAAGGAAGTGAAGAAAGAAGACTCAGAGCATATCTTTATGTGAAAGAATGAGTAGATGAGTAGAATTACCATATCAAGCCCTGAGAGTTAGTTGTAGGGCAAAGGACTGGAAGTTAAATGAAGATAGTTTTTTTTTTTTTGAGTTGGAGTCTCACTCTGTCACCCAGACTGGAGTGCAGTG